TACTGCTCTTGCTTGCTTCTCACGAGAATAATCTTGACACTATCTACACACACACCGTATCGTTTATTAATTTCCGCTGTGCACCATACTCTAACAATCTAGTTAACAGTTTTGGTTTATCTCTGGCTTAGCAATTGTGGTACTGTGCTAAAAAGTTTGAAAGTCTATTCACCCCCCCCCCCCCCCCCCCTCTAGACTTTCACCTTACCTCTTTTGGGACCAACGGTATTCCCTTCGTGATTAGGCAGTGGTGTTCAATGTTTTGGTAAAGATGGAACATTTAAGAAACCCGGCTAAACCAATTCCAATCTTGAAGGTAGTTAATGATGAGCATGATCAGTTTTCACCTACTCTTACTCATCCATTGAGAAATATCAGTTTTCAAAGATTTTTGATGAAGAAGAGAAAGATAAAGAATTTGAAGTATGTTACTTAAGGCTAGATTGATTATCTTTGACTTTCAATGTTTTAAAAGTCAACACTTTTTCAATTAATTTCTTATTTTTCACCATAGGATACTGAATCTGTATATGATTCTAGCAGTCCATGTGTGGCACCATCTCTAAAGGTTACAACTGCTGAGACACCTCAACAAATTGAACCAGGTTCTACAAAGTGATGTCTGTTGGATCAATTATCATCCAGTCAAGACTTGAAGAAGGCTAAGGCTGTGATAGTTAAACAATAAAAGAAATGACCATGTGGAATTCTGGTTGTAATGTTGTTCACTTTACCATTACAAATCTGTCTTTTACATCTTTACACACCAATAAAATTTTTTTTTTTTGGTGCCTAATGTAAAATCGATCTTTATTTCATTCTTTTTCCTGTCTTTTAAATCTAGCTAATTTGAAACATCTGCTGTTAATGTCACATTGTGAATAGAATTAACAGATGTGGAAACTTAGACCCTAATCAAATGTACTCACCCGTGCGATGCTTACAAAAATTAGAAACTAGGATATTTTGCTCTTAAAGAAAAGAATAGAACATTGTGTTCAGTCTGAAGTCTTTTCAAATTCATTCACATATGTTTGAAAATATATAATATTACATTTGAAAATGCAAATTTGGAGTAAACGACAATCGAATAGTATTGCAAAAACTGGTACAATCATTCATTCCATGGTCGTCTTCAAACTTTCTTTCATGAATTCTGATTCAGCACTCATTCTCAATCATTAATATTCAACTAAAACATCTACAACATCTTAAGTAATTTCAAAAGTGGCATCAGAAAGTAATATCATCATTTGCCATTTCCTAAAAAAATTCTATTAGAATTTAACTACAATTCAACAAAAATAATAATGAATAAAATAGTTAAATTGAGGTACAAACAAAATAAAAACAAATAACAAAGTAACCCACAAATTACAGTGATGTAGTCAATTAGATGGCAGCTGTAATCAAATGTGAATTTCACAAAATACACATCTACAAATGTAAAAGTGATTGATTATGGCTGTTATACTTCCCAATTACAGTAATCATCATTAGTTTTAACCAAATTCCAATGCTTTGGAATTTTACTTTTAAATTGAACAATCGCAGATTCAAATTTGTACACACTAGAAAAAATTGATATTCACCTAAAATCACCACTTACACAAAAACACTGTCCAAACATTACTCAGTCTAAGGCAATGCGGAAGTTAACTTCATCAATAGTCATCGGCGCAAAAAGGAAGAACACACTATCTAACAAAGGTACTTTAAATAAAATGTGAAACCTGTATTACTGCGATAGTCTTATTTGTATTAGATCATTGCTTTTGGTGGGAGATTTAGAATCTGCATGCGACTCCATCTTGGTTATGTAATTAGATCTATAACTACAACCTGTTTATTCAAAATTAGATAACAAATTTTTTAGTGAAAGGGTAAAAATTAGTATAAGCATACGAATAATTGAAAATAGAAAAATGATTTCGAAATCTTGCAGTGAAGAAAGTCCTAAGTATGAAGCTTTCCCCTGATATTTAAGACTAAGTTTTACAGTAGTAGATTAAAACCTATGTAGTTTCATAATGTTTATGCAAATGATTTAATAATTATACTGACATAGACAAAAACTATAGTAAGCTAAAAAATAACACACAGAAATGTACTTATCTTTGGAAATGGTGTATTTTTCTTCTCTTTTCCATGTGAGAACGTCGTGTTTTCTGACGGATTTAAACCCAGTTTAGGCTTCAATTTCCATCGACATAAGAACTCCTTCGCCGAAAGTTGTACTGCTAAAGGGTTTCGAATTTGGGTTTATTTCATCTACACTAGATGTTTTCTTGGTTTCGAAGTAGAAGCTTGAAGTATTGAACAAAATTGTGGAGGATATCAGAACTCTTTTCACTACAAGAAAAATGCACATAGACAACACTAGAAAGACAACAGTTTTTAAGAAAAGTGTTGTTGTCTTTTGTATAAAAGACAACAGTTTGGTCCAAAACCGTTGTCTTTGATGCAACACTTTTGTCAAAGACAACGGTTTTTACTTAACCGTTGTTGTAAGTGTGTTGTCTTTGTGCATTTTGTGAAAAGACAACACCACAACGACAACAGTTTTTTAAAACCGTTGTCTATGTGCGTTTTTTTTTTTTTTAAAAGACAACGGTTTTTTTAACCGTTGTCGTTGGTGTGTTGTCTTTAAGCGCACTGGAATACACAACACTAGAAAGACAACGGTTGTTTAAAACCGTTGTCTTTGTGCGCTCTTTCTTTTTTAAAAAGACAACGGTTTTATTTAACCGTTGTCGTTGGTGTGTTGTCTTTAAGCGCACTTGAATACACAACACTACAAAGACAACGGTTTTTAAAAACTGTTGTCTTTGCACGCTCTTTTTTATTTAAAGGACAACGGTTTTTTTACCGTTATCGTTGGTGTGTTGTCTTTAAGCGTATTTAAATACACAACACTATAAAGACAACTGTTATAAAAAACCGTTGTCTTTGCACATCATTATTTTATAAAAGACAAAAGTTGTATAAAATATAAACAAGGATGTTAACAACAAGCGTCGAACATACGACCTTTAACATAACAAATTAAGTTAAACCCACCAAGCTACACCAACATTCATGTATTTAAGCGCAACATCTAGGATAAAACCAGTTTGCTTCTGTGTTATCTCTGAGAACCAAGACAATGATTGTTTAAAATATGTTAAGGATGCTACCAAGAACGATAGAACTCGAGACCTCTAACATAATAAACAAAGCTAAACCCACTAAGCCACACCACCTCTTGTTTGCTAAAGTGTTACACCCACCAAACCATAACAAACTAAGCTAAACGGTTGTTCAAAAGTTAATTTAATAGTTCTATTTTCGTTCATATTTAAATATAAAATTATTCACCAAAATTTCAATTCAATTCATTAAAGTTTTATTTTCAATTAAAATTAAGACCAATCTATGAATTAAAATAATAATAATAATAATTATCAAGTATAAAAAATAATAGATTATATCTATAATATTTTTTTAAAAAAATTGGGCCCCCAAAAATTGGGGCCCCTGTACGGTAGCGCCGGTCTGGCATGGCCCAGAACGGCCCCGGCATTGCGGTGTGATGTTCCGAATGGTACGATATGGTGTGGAGGGGTGAGGGTGGTATGATAGGGGCCGGTGTTGGTAATCGACCCTTCCGGCTAGCGCATGACTAACAAGGTTAGCTATATGTTGGTAATCGACCCTTCCGGCATGCATGGGACACGTGGAGAATGGATATGAAAGAGTAGTTGATATCGTACAGTTAGCTATAGCCCATTTCTTTTGCCGCGACCTTTGTAATAATTGGGCCCGCCAGCTGTCTGAGTAATAAACCTCCGGGTAATAAAGGGCAAATTATGTTGTGCAACCGTGTGCACCATGCATGGTGCACACTCTTCTATGTTCATAATTACTGAACTATATATTCATAATTTTTGAAATTCATGTTCATAATGATTGAACTCTATATATATTCACAATTACAGAACTCTATATTCATAATTTTCAATATGATGTTCATATTCCCAATTGTTGAACTCTGTATTCACAAATCATAAAACTATATGTTCATAATTTGATGACTATACAGTTTAGAAATTATGAATCAACAATACATAAATTATGAATCTGCAGTATAGATATTATGAATCTACTGTATAGAAATTACGAATCTACTGTATTTAAATTATGAATCTACTGTATTTAAATTATGAATCTACGATTTAGAAATTATGAATCTAGAGTAAAGATTTTATGAATCTACAGTATAGAAATCTATGAATCTCGCGTTCTGTACATATATACTCACCAGTACTATTTTGGGTCTAGCGACCCAAGTAATAAAGCTAATATTTTGTTACCATGTTCTATATCTATATCGTCCGGTTTATGGTGGATCCGGTCCCTATAAAACCATGAACATACTTATTTAATTTTGAAAAAAATGAAAGCTTATTATAAAATTAAAATAAAATTTCGTTATTTTCCTAATTATATTAGTATATAGTATATAGTATTTGTTATGTTATTTTCCTTTCTGCAAAATCAAAATAATTCCTTCAATTCAATTGTTCCCTCTATAAATTTTTAGTCAGAACACTTAGCGGGAGAAATTTCCCTCTTTGCAAATTTCCCCGTCAAACGCTTTAGTTTCTAAGACAAAATTTTCGCCTACCGCCATTCTCAGACATTCTCTCTTTGCAAACTCAGTGCTCTCCGCCGACCGCCATTCTCCTCAGACACCGCCATCTCTGCCATCTCCGCAGTCAGCCCAGTGCTCTTCGCCGACCGTGCTCTCGTCCAACCTCCGACGCCGTCCCCGCCTCCAACCGGATTGAGTTGCTTCCCTAGCATCTTCAAGAAGCTCGGCATCTTTGGCGGATTTACCCTGGGAAAAATTGCGGGCTTCCGTCACCCTACTGAACAAAGATTGCTTCCTCTGGGCGGGTTCTTCATCGCTCTTCTCTTTCTTGGCTGAAACCACGAAAGATTTATTGAGGCTTCTTCTAATATCAGACTGGTGTCAAGGTGGTTGTTGCCTATGGTGGTGTAACACCCCCTAATTTTCCATGCTATTTAAAGCCTTAAACATGCAGATATCTAAACCAAAACATCAAACACAGTGGAAGACTGAAAGAAGAAATATATAAACTGGAAGTATAGGGGTGCTGTGCCACGCTCACCAAAGGGTGAACGCACAGGCTAACATCTGCATTGTTCAAAATCTAAAACCAAACATCATCAAGTACTAAGTCTAAATTGGCTCACAGGCCACAAAACATAAGGGAGGAGCTACTCTAGCTGGCACTAAACCGCGCACTCGTCTAAGCATCACCTGAAAGAAGCATATAAACATTGGACGACGCCCGGTCAGCGAATAATGCTGGTAACCCACCAATACATGTGAAATATCATACATAGGTAAGATATAAGTTTGTAAAGCCATTTTTGAAACGGAATACATATATATGAGTCTAAAACCAAGAGTAATAGTCAACACAAGACTCAAACACTCTCAACAAGAACACGGGAACACATCCCAAGACTACAAAGAACAACAACGACTCACAAGAAGTCTCAAGGTATAATCTTTCATCACACAATAGATTAATACCCGACATGCATAACTCAATGGAATAAGGACACACCAAACGGCAACACGTGCCTTTGTGACTACACACGTCACAAGAAGAGAACTCACAACAACGGCTACACAAGCCCTCGTGACATCACCCATCACAAGTTGATATGCATTCCTTATGCCCGGTTCCAACCTTATGTTTAGTTCCAACCGTTACCTCCAGGACCCCTGTACTTCTTAGTCCAACCTTTTCCCTCCTGTGACCGTCGTCCCCCACCAAGAAACCACCAACAAGACCACCAATTCATAGTACACGAGGGTACCAATCACACACACGGTGACACACGCCTCTCCAAAAATACGTGTACCTGACACACAGGTCACAACTCCATAATCACGTCATGACCACCACGAGGACCACTGCAATACCTTAGTGACTAGTGTCCCATACCACCAATCGTGCAATCCAGGTAAAGCCTCACACACATCACACCTCAACAAGAATCAATCAACGGATCACAACGAAGATATGAAACCATACTCAATCAAGGAATGGAACACAGTCCAACAACAACGATGAATAACACAAGTTATCATCAACAATAGGAAGGTACATATGACACGCACGCTAGCATTTAAACACCGAACTAGCATGCGGGTAAACCAAACGTAGTTCCGAAGAACACACAAGACCCATCACGGTTCAACGAAACATAATGTTGAACACTTAGCACGATTCAAGACACCAAAACCTACTTGGATTCCTACCATTTAGTTCTAGACATACGAAACATCAAGAAGACGCTCAAATAGTTCCACAAAAGAACTTCGGGAAGTCCAAAGACCAAATACCGAGTCAAAAGAATCACGGGGAACAAATCCCCAATCAACCACACAGTGTACCCCGTGGGTGGACCCACGGGTAGGCCCCTACCCGCAGTTCCGCCCGCGGGTACATACCCATGAGGCTCTTGTACCCCGCGGGTGGGCGACGGGAGGAACCCTACCCGCCGTTCCGCCCGCGGGTACACACCTGTACCAAAATAATCCTTTGGGGGATTTTCAACTCCAAGCTCAAATTTAAGTCCAAAACATGCCAAAACTCACCAAATACAACAAAATGACTTGAATCAAAGGAATAGCCAAGCAATGGCATACATGAACCCTAATAACAAGCTCTAGATATGCATTTTCACAAGACAATGCATGAACACTCACATTTCATAGCAAAATCACATGTAGAATCCAAGAAATCATCATATAGGTAGACAAAATAGATTTTGTAGAGCATGGGTTACCTCTTGTAGACAAAAACCTTCTCTTAACACCTCACCAAGCTCCTAACAAAGCTCACCTTCCACACCCACTTCAAGAACACACCAAAAGATCATAAAGATTCTATCTTTAAGAAAAGACACCTTAGAAAACACTAAAAACACAATATGAACATGGATCTTAACCTCCTAGATGCCCAAATGTATGAAAGGTAGAATCTTGGAGACAACTCTTGAAGTTTTGACAAAGCTTCAACTTGGCTTGGAAGAAAAGCTATCTACCTTTTTAGAGAGAAGGTGGAGCTAGAATTTGGAAAGTGTAAGGGGAGAAATGAGGGTGTTCTACTAGGTTAGCTTACAATACTAACACAAGGTGAAAAGTCAAGAATACCCTTACTAACATGAAGAGGTGTAAGGAGACAAGGGAACTCCCTACAAAGCTCAAGGTACAACTTTGACTTTGGGGTTGACTAGTCAATTACTAGTCCTCGACTATTGAATTTCCAGGATTTTAAGAATTAAATTACCAATTGAAATATGATTGATTATTTAATTAATCTCTTAATCAAATTTGGATTTCGGGGTGTCACAGGTGGAGCACCCATAAATCAACAGGTCCTATTCTTTCTAATATCTTCATTTAATAAAACCTTTTGTAAGATGAATGTGTTAATAGGTCACATAGATTTATCAAAGACAACCCATTTAATCCATTACATAAGTAGGATATGTAAGAATTGTCCATCACTTTCTGTTCTTGATATTTTAAGAATTGTTGAGCTAAAGTTTAAATTTTTGTTTAGTTTCACCTTTGACATGCCAATCCCTTTGTTGCTAGTATGTGCTTTCTAGCAAAACAGTCCACATGAGCCCATCACTAAATTTTTGTTTAGTTATCCTTGTAATTAATCTTCTCAATTTTGTATGATAGCTTCGAGAGCTTGAGAGGGGCGTGCATATACTTGTTGCCACTCCTGGGCGGTTAGTTGATTTATTAGAGAGGGCAAGAGTCTTATTGGAGATGATTAGATATCGATAAAGCAGATCGAATGTTAGACATGGGTTTTGAACCTTAGATAAGGAAAATTGTGCAACAGACAGACATGCCTCCACCAGGCATAAGGCGGCAAATTATGCTATGCGCACGGCGCTAAAACGGCGTCGTTTTCCGTGAAAATGACGCTGTTTTAACTAAAAAAAAAAAAGATTTGTTCGAAACGGCGTTAACGGCATATTCGTTATAAAATTATGAATATACAGTTATGACATTATGAATGCACAGTTATAGAATTATGAATGTATAGTTATGGAATTATGAACTTACAGTTATGAACATAGAGCTTTGAAAATTATGAATGTTCGGTATGGAATTATGAATATACAGTATGGAATTATGAATGTACAGTTATGGAATTATGAATGTACAGTTATGAAATTATGAACATAGAACTCTGACATTATGAACTTACAATTATGAACATAGAGCTTCGAAAATTATGAATTTACAGTTATTGAATTATGAATGTACAGTTACGGAATTATGAATGTACAGTTATAGAATTATGAATGTACAGTTATGGAATTATGAATGTACAGTTATGAAATTATGAACACAAAGCTGTGAATATATGCTCCTATAACGAAATGGTCTGAAATTAAATTTAAAAAAAAAAAAAAAAGGAAGATAACAGTGACTGACGGCACCGTTATCCGTGCCCATGAAGCACGCTGGGCACGAGCCCACAGCATAACTATCGGACAATGTTGTTCAGTGCTACCTACCCAAAAGAGATTCAGGGTTGTTATGCTCATTGAGTCGTGCTTTTTTCTTATAGGCCTGGATCATCTTAATAGGTCAAGAGTAGAGAATGGCCCAGTCAAGCGTAATAGGTCAAGAGTAGATATTGGACCTGGTGAAAGATTAGGAAGATTTTTTTTTTTTTTTTCCGTTTGAATATGGGCTAAAATTTGGTTTGGCTCATATAATGTAGAAAGCATTCCACCTGAAACAAGGATTGATAGAGTAGCTTAAGACCTTATAAACATCTCCAGATGCTTAAATTTTTTCAATTATGCATTATTTCTAACACTTCTGGGTTCTTTACACTAATAAAACAAATAAAATATTTGGATAGATTTTTAAGTATACACTGTTAATGACACTATTGCAATTTTATCCGAATGTAGAGATTGGCTGCAGATTTTCTATCAAATTATATATTTTTGGCTGTTGGAAGGGTTGGCTCAAGTATTGATTTGATTGTCCAAAGAGTTGAATATGTTCAAGAGACTGATAAACGAAACCACCTAATGGATCTCGTACTTCATGCACAAAGGGCAAACAAAGTAAATGGAAAGGTAATGTTGCAGTCGCCTAATGGATCTCATTCACCTAAAGCACGGCCAATCGGTTGTTGAGTACATTGATCATTTTTCCATTATTAATTTTGCAGCAAGCTCTTACCCTCATTCTTGTGGAGACAAAGAAAGGAGCCGATTCACTTGAACATTGGCTTTACCTGAATGGTTTCCCTACCACTTCTATCCATGGTGATAGGACACAACAGGTATTATACTTAGATATCTATTTCTTCTTTACTAAATGTAGTGTCTACTTTGGCGTTGTTAAGAGTAGGGCTGTCAAAGTGGGTCAAAATCCGCGGGCTGGCCCGCACCCACCCCACAGTGGGGCGGGTTAGGGCCACCAAAAAATAGGCCCGTGAAAACGCGGGCCTAACGGGCTTAGCTCGCGGAGGGCCATAGCCCGCGCGGGTTGCGGGCCTACCCGCGGGCCAAGCCCTTTAAAAAAAAATATCTGTATATATTATATTATAATTTATTCTTTCTCTTGGGCTATTAATTAATTAATGGGCTACGGTGCCGTTTTGGTCAGCCGATCCACTATGACCCAGATTTTGTCCTTGCCGGTTCTTGTTGGGGGTAACCCTCCGACGAAGTCCATGGATATGGAATCCCATTTTCCTTGTGGTATTTCAAGGGATTGTACGAGCCCCTTGGGCTTGCATCGTTCAGCCTTTACTCTTTGGCAATTCAGGCACCTGGCCACGAAATCTGCGATTTCCTTCTTCATGTTTGGCCACCAAAATGTTCTCCTTACATCTTGGTATAACTTGTCACCCCCTGGGTGGACCGAGTACGGGGAGTTGTGTCCTTCCTCCAAGATCCGTTGTTTCAAGTGAGGGTGCGTTGAGGGTACACACCACCTTCCTTTGTAATGGAGGCTACCGTCCAGGCGTGCTTCGAAGGGGCCTTCCTTCCCTTGGGTTAGGTCGTGGCGGATCTTATCTAGTTCCGGGTCCTGATGTTGCCCTGCTTTGATCTCCTCGAAGAGGGCGGGTATAGCTTGCGTGTTGAGTAGGTAGGCATTGGGGCGGGTTTGTCCTTGCTCTATTATTTCCAAGTGTAGTTTTTGGAAGTCCCTGTACAGTTGGTCCGGTAAGACCCACGTGGTGTTGAGGGAATGGTTCGTCTTTCGGCTTAGGGCGTCTGCAACGACGTTGGCTTTTCCCTCGTGGTATTGGATGTCTAGGTCGTAGTCTTTTATGAGTTCTAGCCACCTTCGTTGTCTCATGTTTAGGTCCTTTTGGGTGAAGATGTACTTTAAGCTCTTATGGTCGGTGTAGATTTTGCATTGTACCCCATACAGGTAGTGCCTCCAGATTTTTAGTGCGAAAACGATAGCGGCTAGTTCGAGGTCATGGGTGGGGTAGTTTTCTTCGTGGGTTTTGAGTTGCCTGGATGCATATGCTATTACTTTCCCTTTTTGCATCAGCACGCATCCCAACCCTTTCTTGGATGCATCGCTGTAGACCTCGAATTCTTCCGTTCCGGCGGGGATGGCTAGCACGGGCGACGTGGTTAGCTTGTCCTTTAATTCTTGGAAGGCTGAGATGCAGTCGTTGTCCCATCGGAAGGGGGTTTCCTTTTTCATGAGCTTAATGAGGGGTTGGGCTATCTTGGTGAAGTCGGGTACAAACCTCCTGTAGTAACCTGCCAGGCCTAAGAAGCTTCGGACCTCCGAGAGTGAGCTTGGCGTGGTCCATTCTTTAACGGCGCGAATCTTAGCGGGGTCCACCCTGATCCCTTCTTTGGTTATTACGTGGCCCAAGAAGGCTACGCTGTCTTGCCAGAATTCGCACTTGGAGAATTTAGCGTAAAGTTGGTTTTCTCTGAGGGTTTGTAGTGATATACGAAGGTGCTTCTCATTCTCTTCTTTATTTCGGGAGTAGACTAGGATGTCGTCAATGAACACAATGACGAAGTCATCCAGGTGAGGTCGGAATACTCGATTCATGAGGTCCATGAATATGGCGGGTGCGTTAGTGAGGCCGAAGAGCATTACGGTAAACTCGTAGTGGCCGTAACGCGTTCGGAAGGCCGTTTTCTGGATGTCCGGTTTGGCCACTTGGATTTGATGATATCCGAATCTTAGGTCGATCTTCGAGAATACCCCTGCCCCCTTAAGTTGGTCGAATAAGTCATCTATCCGGAGAAGGGGGTACCTATTCTTTATTGTAACTTGGTTGAGTTCCCTGTAGTCGATGCATAGGCGCATGCTCCCATCCTTTTTCTTAACGAATAGTACCGGTGCTCCCCATGGGGAGGTGCTGGGTCGGATATAACCCTTATCTAGTAGTTCCTGGAGTTGTGTTTTCAGTTCTTTCATTTCCTTTGGTGCTAGTCTGTAGGGTGGTTTAGAGATCGGGGTGGCGCCCGGTGTGAGGTCTATGGTGAACTCGACCTCTCTGGCCGGGGGTGCCCCGGGGATTTCGTCCGGAAAGACGTCGGTGAACTCGTTTACCACTGGGATGTCTCGTGGTTCGAGTATTTTGGCATTGAGGTCTTCGACTGAGCATAAGAAGGCCTCGTTTCCTTGGCCCAGATACTTCTTAATTTTCATCATGTTTACAAGCTTGATCCCCGGATCCTGGCGCGGATACTGCGGTATGACACCCTCTTTCCGTTTGGTCCTCGTAGGACCACTTTCTGCTCTCCGCACAAGATTTGCGCTTGGAATTTCCCTAGCCAGTCCATGCCCAAGATTACTTGCATCCCATCCAGTTGGAACTGGATTAGGTTGCTGGGAAATTCCACCCCTTGAATGGTGATTATCACATGTTCGTACATGCGATCACATTTTATGATCTCGCCTGAGGCCACCTTGACTTGGAGCCGGACCTTGGTGCTGGCGTTAAGGTTGAGCTGGGCGGCGAATTCGGTTGCTATAAATGAGTTGGTAGCCCCCGAGTCAAATAGTATGGTGGCTGGGGTGGCGTGCACTAGGAAAGTTCCGGAGACTATGTTGCTATCTCCGACCCTGGCCTTGCTTAGGGTGAGGATCCTCCCCTGGGCAGTCAGCGTGATGGCCCGGCCCAGTGGGGTGGTTTTGAGGTTTTTAGGCTCTTTGGTGGGAATTGGGCGACTTCTTTCGGGCTTCCTTTTATACCCCAGTTGTGTCCCTTGGGGCGGGTTCGTTACCTGTTGTAGTTGACACGCCTTGGCGTAGGCCTCTCCGAGGGTCTTTGGTTCTTGGGCGGCCAAGGCCCTCTGATGTTTGGGGTTAAGGCCTGCTAAGAATTTCCTGACTTTGATCCCCTCGGTGGATACTAGTTCGGGGGTGAGGCGAGCCAGTTGGCAGAACCGTTGATAGTATTCTGAGACTGGGGCTGCCCCTTGTCTTAGGTAGAGGAATTCCTCGCGTGTGGCGGCTTTCAGGTGGTTGGGGTAGAACCGTTCTCGTAACCGTGTTTTTAGGCCTTCCCAGTCGAATCCGGGGTCGTATTCGTACGTAGGCCCCTCACGGGCCCACCAGATGTCGGCCTCGTGTCTGAAGTAGAAGGAGGCTATCCCGACTTGGCGGTGTTCGGGGCATTGGGTTGCCCTGAATACCCTGTCGAAGATCTCAATCCATTCCTCGAGGGTCGTGGGGTCTTCGTCTCCCGAGAAGGTGGGCGGTTGGTGTGCCGAGACTTGGTGGTGGATTTCCAAGCTCTCGTTCGTTGG